CGATAATATACCACAGTGCATTGAGTGCCCACCATAGTCTTAAGACATGTGTTGAACGTGCCCAAGCCCATACTTATGAGAGCACCATGTGAGCACCTGTGTGTGTACACGCGCTTGTTTATGTAAGGTTTATCTATAGGAGCGTCCAATAGAGTGTGAGGGACCACAGATCTGCCCCCCAAAGACGCGTAGGAGACGGGGGGGAGCTCCAAGTCCCAGAGATCCAGGCGCTGCCCCAGAACACAGGAACCCCAAGGAGCCCGCAACCAGAAAGGCCCCCGCCCCCCTCGAGAGGCACAGAGGATCGCCCCGGGGGGCCACAACCAGCAGCCGGCAGAGCCCCGGGAGATATCAGCGGCAAGTCCTCAGGCCTGCCCGCAGCCTCCCACCCCCTAGCCGGCCGAGTCCGGGGCCCAGCGACCCGGGACCCAGGGGCGACCACCCCCGCCGGGGACCCAGCAGAGCCCAGGGACCCAGACCCCCCCAGGCCGCCACCGGGATTGATCAGGCAGATGCGGCAAGCCCTACCAGCCATTCCTCCCCATCCCCGTTTATTTCTCTCCTCCTGCTCCCTCACATCATCACACAAACATGCACATAGGACCTTGGGGGGTGGACAAGTCGAGGAGTGCGGGTATGGACCCCATTTCCGCATTCCTGTGGCTTCCTGCCCCCCAATTTTATTTGCACCTTATGCACTTCCACCGACGACATTCCACGCAAACATACACTTAGGGCCTTGGGAGTGAGCACATTCAACGGCACTTGGCAGGGGGAGTTCTCAGCCTCCTCCCGAGTGCCGGTGCCCACTTCGAATTTTAAACTGCATTTAGACACCAAGGGCTGTGGGTGCAAGTAGGGTGGTGCAGTGGCATCAGCTGGCATAGGCCAGAAAATGCCCGCACTGCCCGCTCACCACAGCAATAGAATACACCTCATTAACACACAACACTATGTTGGAGCAGGTGGAGGGAGACCAGGGGGTCTTAGCACACCTCTGTTGTTGCTTGGCTGCCTGGGGCTGGAGACTAGGAGGGAGATCTGGCCGTCTGGTTGGGGTCTGGGGTGGTGGGTTGCTGTGCTCGGCGGTGGGCGGGGGAGCCTGCTCATCAGCACCCCAGCAGAAAGGGTCAAACTCTGGTAACCGGTGGTGGTTGTACCCCATGTGCAGCATTACCGGGACCAGAGTGAATAGGGTGTGTATGGGGAGCATGAATGGGTGTCCGGCGTGTATTTTTGTAAGTCTTTGGTTGTATGTGCATGTGTGAGCATGAGGGAGGGAGTGTGTGACTGTGTTTGTGTATGACTGTATATGTCAGGTGGGGCCTTTGACTCCTCCCTTCTCCTGGGACCTCCTTTGATGATATAGATCTTCGTCTCCCCTCCCCCCTGTCACACCTGGTGTGGGTGTGATGCCTTGGTCTGCCTGAGTGTTCGTGGATCCCGGGTCAGGGAGTTTAAGATTTTTGGCATCTGCCTGATCAATACCGCCTTTGCGTTGCTGCCGGAGGAGGAGCCAGACCTCCAGAAAACAATCAGTGTGCAGTAACTGTCCGTGTTTTCTATCCTTGTATTATGATCTTGTCAACCAGGTCTCTTCTCCACTTCACGATCGGTCCTACGACATTGCCACACCCCATGTACATCTGTGAGCGTGGTGCCATGCATGTGATCCTTGGCGTTGACCTTTTGAAGCGCCTTGAAGCTTTTATCAATCTGGAAAAGGGGGAACTTTGGTTGGGTGTTGGAGAACTCCTGCCCTTTGTTTTGCCTCCTGACCTTGACCTCCACTGTCTTGCGGCTGGTGACCCTGAGCATGGGGAAATCACATGCTCCATGCCGAGCTCAAAACCTCCATCAGAGCCATCCTCTGATGTTTTCTCTAACATTGAACAGGTCATAGACCAAGCCGATGCTCTTACCATTGAAGCTGAACAAGACAAGCTACATCAACTTCTGTTAAAAAAACAAATACTCTCTTTCAGCCAACTCCTTGTACTCCAACTCACCATATGAGTTGAACATCTTGGAAACAGCCTGCCATGATGCCATCATCACCATCATCATCACCATCATCACCATCATCACCATCATTATCATCATCACCATCATCACCATCAATATCATCATCACCATCATCACCATCAATATCATCATCACCATCACCATCAATATCATCATCATCATCATCAATATCATCATCACCATCATCACCATCAATATCATCATCATCATCACCATCAATATCATCATCATCATCATCATCATCATCATCATCATCACCGTAATCATCATCACCACCATCATCATCAATATCATCACCATCATCATCAATATCATCACCATCATCATCAATATCATCACCATCGTCACCATCACCACACCACCCCACCCCACCCCACCCACCATCATCATCATCATCATCATCATCATCATCATCATCATCATCATCATCATCATCATCATCATCATCATCACCATCACCACCATCATCAGAGAGACAAAACATTCTCTGTAATAATCCCTGGTGCAGTCGCCACACACCCAAACTGTGGTTTGCAGATGTGTTATTCAGCTCAAGTTAACAGCTAATCAAAATAAAACAATGTGAGGAGATGAGATTTAGTCTGCCTGTGGTCTAGCGGTGCGTCACAAAGGGAGCACACACTGGGACTTTTGCCTCGTCTGTCGCCACTTAGGGCTCCGTCTAATTACTGGGCTGTATTCAGGAATGAAGCAAAGGAAACTGGGAGGGACTGACAGATTTAATTACTTGTGTATTTTTTGTTTGACTGAAATCTTTGGAGAAAGGGGGATGAACAAAGGAATTTTTTCTTCTGTTTCAGACATTTTGGATCTTGGGCACCACAGAACTTTCTTCATACCATTTCTTGTGATTGAGCTTGGATACAGCCTCAGCCAGACCGTTTACTGACATCTTTTGCCTTTTTTCTACCCACTGATTTAACACGAGACATTGTTCTTCAGAGGGTTAGGGTAACCCTAGCCCACCCTTCTCTGACAGAAAAATGCTGTTCAATTTTCATATTAAGATAGACAATGTAGGGAAATGTTCCCTTCCAGTTGATTCACTTGGTACAACACATTTAGTATGGGATATCAGGCCCTCATGTGGTCTGATTGAGGACACCTTTAGTCACACCGTTAGGCCATGTGCAAGGTCGCCTTAATGCACGGGCCAAGCGGGGCTGTAGCTAGGGTCCTATGAGGTTTAGGGGCCTATCATTTCAGGTTAAACAAACAAAAATAAACAGTTCTATTATTTGTCAGGTTTTCAGTCAATCTTAGATGCTCGTTTAAGTGACCTACTCACCCACTGTAAAGTCAAGCTGGTGATTTTAATATATTCTTGATTTCAAAATGAAGAAAGTAAGAAAGAAAGGAAAATATGCATATAAAACAAAACAGAAAAAAAGTAAGGTAAGCACAAAAATGGGTGAGAAAATGCACAGTATTGATTATCCCGTGAGAGTTACCCCCAAATTCCACTACCTCCGCTCCACTCCGCTCCGGCACGAACTCCGCAGCAAAATCGGTCCCGCTGTAGTCAATCAGAGCAATTCCACTACTGCGGCCGTGCTCCGGCCGTGCTCCGGCAGTGCGGCGCAGTGCGCCGTCCTCTGTTTCGGCGTCCGGCAAAAATAGAATCGATCCTATTTTTGCTGGATGCTGGAGCACCTCCGCAGTAAATGGACAGGAATCACAACCGCCCAACAGGAAAGGGAGCAAGCACAGCTTCCGTTATTTCACAATAAATCGATAAACAAAAGGCGTTTTTTGTTTCATATGCACAGGTTTAACAACTTTTAACAACTATCAATGGCGGCTGAAGTTTAAATGCACAAAAATAAGCCATAAATACAGTTTCCACTATCAAAGTAGTCACACTGTGTTGATCCAAACACTGCTGATCTCTCAACACAAATGATGGGCAGATTAAAGAGTTCATGCCGATGCTTCTCCCACACAACGGGTGTTTGGATCTAACTTCCGCGTTTATTGCTCGGACTGTATCGCAAGATCTCGAAAATCCCGCGCATGCTTGTCTGTGCTCCTCAGGTCTCCGCACCGGAGCGGAGCCGTTGTAGAGTGGATACCAGTAAAAATTGAGTTCGGAAGCGAGCGGCAGCGGAAGGCGGGGGCGGAGCGGAGGTAGTGGAATATGGGGGTAACCCCCAAATTCCACTACCTCCGCTCCGCTGCGCTCCGCTCCGACACGAACGCCGGAGCAAAATCGGTCCCGTTCTAGTCAATCAGAGCAATTCCACTACTGCGGCCGTGCTCCGGCAGTGCGGCGCCCTCTGTTCCGGCGTCCGGCAAAAATAGAATCGATCCTATTTTTGCCGGACGCCGGAGCACCTCCGCAGTAAATGGACAGAAATCACAACGGCCCAACAGGAAAAGGAGCAAGCACATCTTCCGTTTTTCACAATAAATCGCTAAACAAAAGGCGTTTTTTGTTTCATATGCACATGTTTAACAACTTTTAACAACTATCAATGGCGGCTGAAGTTTAAATGCACAAAAATAAGCCATAAATACAGTTGCCACTATCAAAGTAGTCACACTTTGTTGATCCAAACACTGCTGATCTCTCAACACAATGATGGGCAGATTAAACAGCTCATGTCGATGCTTCTCCCGCACAACGGGTGTTTGGATCTAACTTCCGCGTTTATTGCTCGGACTGTATCGCAAGATCTCGAAAATCCCGCGCATGCTTGTTTGCCCCCCTCAGGTCTCCGCACCGGAGCGGAGCCGTTGTAGAGCGGGTACCAGTAAAATTGAGTTCGGAAGCGAGCGGCTGCGGAAGGCGGGGGCGGACCGGAGCGGAGCGGAGGTAGTGGAATTTGGGGGTAGTGTGCCGGGATGTTTCATGCAGCACGCCAGGTGAGAGGTAGAGGGCTGTCAGCACCTGGAAGAGGAGGACAGATTCTCTGACCTGCCATGGACTCTCTAAGGAGAGAAAGGTGTCTAACCCCCAAATTCCACTACCTCCGCTCCGCTCCGCTCCGGTCCGCCCCCGCCTTCCGCAGCCGCTCGCTTCCGAACTCAATTTTTACTAGTCTCCGCTCCGCCCCGCTCCGCTCCGGTGCGAAGACCCAAGGTGCGCAAACAAGCATGCGCGGGATTTTCATGTCCTCGCGATACAGTCCGAAACAAATGCGGAAGTTTGAGCCAAACAAGTCATTGTGTGGGAGAAGTTTGGAGAAGAACTGTTTTATCTGCCGATCATTTGATTTAAGATATCAGCAAGTGTTTGGATCAACAATGGGTGAGTACGTTGACAGTAGAAACAATATTTATGGCTTATTTTTGTGCATTTAAAGTCCAACCACCATTGATAGTTGTTACAAGAAAACGTTTATATGTAATTGAACTAGATTGGAGCTTGTTTTTCTAGTCTAATGTGCATAATTGCTGTTGCAGAAGCACATGTTAGCCGAAGAAGAACTTTAGCTCTCCTTTTGCTACTGGATTTGGTTCATCAGAGAAGAAGGAGCAGGTTCTGGGTGCACCCACTGAACCAACAAAGAAGAAGCCAAGGGGACTTCTACCATCTTGTTGCAGAGCTGCGACTGGACAGCCAGAGGCACCACCAGTACTTCCGCATGTCTGCAGAGAAGATGGATGAGCTTCTGTCCCTTGTTGGACCAGAGTTGAGAAGACAGTCTACATCCTTCAGAGCAGCTATTGAACCTAAACAACGACTAGCTGTTGGAATAAGGTGAACATTTTGACTCATTCTCAAATGCAGAACTCAACTTTTATTTAACACAAACATTTCCAAAACAAGCACTTATAAAACAAAAAATATAAACATTTATAAAAATGAAAGAAAACAAAGAAATATTACCTCAAAAAGGAAAGGACAAATTGTCATAACCATGTAGCTATAAACATCAAACTGAAAACAGTAATATAAAAAAACTGGTCGAGGTAATAATCAAACACTCCAAGAAGTCAGTAGTACAGAAAAACAATACTTATTCCTGAGGCTCATCGACATCCCATTTATCTACCGCAGTAAGCAAGCCCATATATTCCCCAAACTGTCCTGCAGTTGAGGTAGATGGGACAAAGGCAGGATGAGTGGGGGTAGATGTGTGTGTAGGTTGTGATGGGGTGGGGGTTTGCATACTCGGCTGCTGCTGCTGGTATGGGGGATGGTGCTGCTGCTGGAGGCCCTGGTGCTGCTGGAGGCCCTGCTGCTGGTGGAGGCCCTGCTGCGGCACCTGCTGGAGGCCCTGCAGCTGGTGGAGGCCCTGCTGCGGCAGCTGCTGGAGGCCCTGCAGCTGGTGGTGTTGCTGCTGCTGGTGTTGCTGCTGCTGGTGTTGCTGCTGCTGGTGTTGCTGCTGCTGCTGGTGGTGGCCCTGCTGAGGCTGCTGATGGTGCTGGTGCTTGCGGAGGCCCTGATGCTTGTGGTGCTTCTGCTGGTGGTGGCCCTGCTGCTGCTGGTTTTGCTCAAGCTGCTGGTGATGTTGTATCAACTGCATAATGCCTACTTTTGCATTTTGCCTGTTGTTCATCTCCATTCCACTGAGGAGTGGAACAATACTGAGGGCGAAGTGGTAGCACTCATCAGTTGCCCCTTCTGGCATGTACGGGCGCTGCAGTGGCTCTTTCAGGAGCTCTATCAGCTTGTCCCCAAACTCCACCCCTTTAGATGCCCCACCTCTATATGCCTTCCTTGACTGGCCGGTAGATTGTGGTGTCCGTTTCAATGGGCTACGCGACCGGCCTCTTGATGTGGAAGGTTCAGCAGCAGAAGCAGCAGCAGTGGAAGGGGTGGACATTCTTGAAGGACCTGCTGCCTCATCTGGTCCAGACAGGCTCAAAGGAGTTGGAGGTTGGTCCTCCTCTGTGTCCATCTGGGATGCAGAGTCCAAGCTACTTCTTGAGCTGTGTGAAAAAGGATTTATTCTAGTAAAAACACAATCAACCGAAACTGAAAATGGCAATCTAATAACTGAAATTGTTTGACAGAATAACAAATTTAAGGCAATTTACCTGGCCATTTGTGAATAAACAGGTTTGCAGCAACTTACCTTCTTGGTTGCAGATATGGAATTAGAAAAGACATAATCTTTTCAAATTTCCACTCCTTTTGTGTCCCTGCAGCAGATCCACTGGGTAGGTCGGACTTTTTTCGGGACTTCACATAGCTGTCCCGAAGTGCCCTCCATTTATTTTTACATTGATCACCTGAAAGAAGAAGAATTTGATAATCAGTCAAAAATAACACAATTTTTTGCTTTGTTCTTCTGCCTACAGGTTTTTGGCCTCCGGTGACTCCTTTGTCAGTCTGGCTTTCAGCTACCGTCTTGGCCAGACTACGGTCAGAAACTCTGTCCACATGGTGTGTGCTGCTATTGAGAAAGTGATGATGGGCCAATATCTGCCACCCCCAACTGATGAAATGTGGAAGACCGTAGCACAAGGCTTCTGGGAGAAGTGGAATTTCCCTAACTGTTTGGGGGCATTGGATGGGAAACATATACACATTCAAGCTCCACCACGCTCTGGAAGCCAGTATTTCAACTATAAAAAGACCTTCTCCATTGTGCTGCTGGCTCTGGTGGATGCAGACTACAGATTTCGGGTGATCCAGGTGGGGGACTTTGGAAGAAGCAGTGATGGAGCTGTCTACGCTGGCTCAGCACTGGGGATTGGAATGGAGAGAAGAACGCTTCATGTGCCTCCCCATGCCCCCCTCCCTGGTGCTGCTGATGCTACCCCTGTGCCCCATGTCATGGTGGCGGATGCAGCTTTTCCACTGAAGCCGTACCTGATGAGGCCATACCCCGGGCATAATCTGACTCACAGGAAAAGAATCTTCAACTACAGGCTGTCAAGAGCACGTATGGTAGTTGAGAATGCATTTGGCATTCTTGCCTCTAGATGGAGGATTTTTTACAGGCGAATACACCTCCATCCTGACAAGGTGGACAGTGTTGTTCTTGCTGCATGCATTTTGCACAACTTCTTGATTGCACCAAGTGAGAACCAAGCAATCTTGGACGAAGCTAACCAACAGACCACACACATGGTACCAGTGAGAGACATGGGTCCAAATCGGGCATCCAGGGAGGCCTGCAACATCAGGGAGATTTTTTGTGACTTTTTCATGTCTCCTGAGGGCAGTGTGGCTTGGCAGGACAGAATGGTGTGAAATGGGAAATAAGTCCTGCAGCTGAAACAGTGTTGAGACACTGTGCAATCTGTGTGCATCTTATTTTTTTACAAGTTCTCAACTGTGTCGTGATTTTTAAAACTGTTTAACCACAAATAAATGTGTGCATGTTTCCTAAATAAAAGTATTATTTGACTTTGCCATTCTTTCTTTATTGTTATAATAAGCCAAAGGGATTAAATAAGTGGGATACTCGAGGAAAGGGTTTTAGTTTTTTTCAGAAGAGGGAAGTTTACACCTTTGTGAACAGTAGCATGAGATTAGCACTGTTTGCATGTAAAGCACACTACAGGGTGCATTAAATTGCACATACAGCTATTTTTCCTCACTGCTGAAAGCAGAACATAGGAGTTATTTTGGAGTGATGCTTTGAGGATTTTCTACAAAATATTCTATGTCAAACAAATGGACAATATTTTTCTACAAATCTTTGCTACAATTTTGACCATATACAGAATCTTATTCTGCAAGTAGTACACATACATATCTTTAATACATGTATACTACTTGCTGAATATAATGTATAATATAATTTATAGTATATTAATGTAGACCTATTATGCATTGCTGAAATTGTCCTATAACTGACAGAGGGGATTTTCATTCCATGACTTTTTTTGGAAACTTTACAATACACGACCATGCCTGTTACACGGTACTTACCAGTCATTTGTAAAACTTTGCCAATTTCTGCCCACGCATTGTCCTTCTTTTTGACATCCTTGTAAAATGGATGTGTGGTGTCATACAATATTTTGTACTTTTCCACTTCAAGGATGAGTTTTTCCTCGTCCATCTTCTGATCTTGCTCGTGTTTTTCTGCTGACTTTTTCCCGTAACTCGAGTGACGCAGGTATCGAGGAAATGGCTTTCAAATTAAAAGATAAGTTGAAGATCGTCAATATTATGTGTAAACACGCAAAAAATGTTTTGAGACACATATGTGTACATGTAATGGTCATTAGATAAACATACCTGTGCATATGAACCAAAGAAACGCTTGTTGTTTATCGTTTTATTGTGAAATAACGGAAGCTGTGCTTGCTCCTTTTCCTGTTTGGCGGTTGTGATTTCTGTCCATTGACTGCGGAGGTGCTCCGGCGTCCGGCAAAAATAGGATCGATTCTATTTTTGCCGGACGCCGGAACAGAGGGCGGCGCACGGCGCCGCACTGCCGGAGCACGGCCGCAGTAGTGGAATTGCTCTGATTGACTAGAACGGGACCGATTTTGCTCCGGCGTTCGTGTCGGAGCGGAGCGGAGCGGAGCGGAGGTAGTGGAATTTGGGGGTAAAACTCTGGAGGCAGCAGGTTGGACGCCGATATGAAACGGGTGAACTGTAATCGCGATCAGATAGAGTTTTGAGCAGCAGAGCTCAGGCATGGTGCTGCAGATTACAGCGCGCGTCATGCGGTGTTTATTAGACAATTGGATAACTAGTCTGGTGTTTGTTCGCGCTTAAATCTTTTATATAATAAACTAAAGTACTCTAATGGTTTAATTATGCACTGGTTGATATCAAACCTGTAAAAATAAGTGGATTTTTAAGAATATATTTTTGTGTGTGTCAAGGTTTTCACCTGCTTTCACCAACTTTTTGAATAAAGTTTGACACTTTGATTCCCTCAAAGAAAATAAACAAACATGCTGTGGTGTTCTGTAAAATGCCTGGAAAAGGATAAATAAAAGAAGCAGAGAAAGAGAAGTTGTGGAGTGTTGAGCGAAGTCCAGCAAATTATTCTCCAGATTAATTATTCCCTGTCAAGTGGGGATCGTGTTCTACTCAAGCAACTTGACACCCATGTGACCTCTGGACCATGAGCTGGCTGTAGCGTACCAAAGGTCAAGTATTTACATAAAAAATGACCATAAATGAACTTTTAATTTGCAGACACAAACTGCGTCACACATCCAGGGACGCGTTACAGCTGTCTGGCCTCCAGACAAAAAAAGCAAGGACCTAAAACGTGCAACCAAATAAGCAGCCATAATAAGCACTGGAAGACAAGGCCATGCAGAAGACGAGACTTCTGCACTTTCACTCTGAATAAAGTTTATCCTCTTTGAATCATAAAGGACTTTTTAAAATGTGAAAATTGCATAAGTGTCATAAAATCATCTCTTGTTAAATCCCAAAGTGCGTGAATAATTTGTGCATTAATCAATGATGTGTTAAAATGAATGTTTTTCCTGCACTGATTCATGTCAGATCTTAAACTACACCAGATCAGTATTTGTTGATTTACTGTTAATCTATCAGTATACTCATACATCACAGGATTAATATTAAGGTTTAAATTTTACTTCACATATCTGTGTAAAATTATTTCCACTTCACACTAAGAGTTAACCTCTGAGTATCTGAGGAAAGGCGTGATTTCTGAGGTATTTTGTTAACATCTCTTAAGCCTGTCTAATTCTGATTTGTCACATTTGTAAACAACATCTGATGAATTCAGGAATCACGTCCTGGTCTAGCCAGTCTTCACCATTCACTCGATAAGGCCAGTTGGGCGAACAAGCATTTTGAGACCACCCTGTGTTTGACCTCAAGGTCAAAGCCTCTCTGCAACGCTTGCGAGTGATTTCAGACACAACGGCTCCTTTAAGAGCATCCCAACACCTCAGACAGACATCTAGCCTGCAGACCCTGGTTGCATCTCATGGCTGGACTAGAAATCGGAATTGAAAGGGAACTGCGCCTCTTTGGGTTCCTGTGGTCTCGGTGTTCACTGAACCACTCAAGCCGCTATTGTCTGGACCGCCGATGGACAACCGTCACAGAAAGGGTGTGTAGACTCAGCACAAATGTGTCAGACAGTTTTATAAATAAAGTTTAGCTTCTCAAACCGTACAGCAAATGTAATTTCACAACCCAGAGAGCACATTCTCTCTCAGTTACTTAAGATCGGTTTTGCTAATACATCTAGCTCACATTCCATCATCCCATTCATCATCTATTATCTATACAACCATTTAGTTTAGAAAAATAGTTAGTTATAACTGTATTCTTGACTGTCTGAATTAATGAGAACCGTGTGTATGGTCTCTGAATAAGTAAAATAAAATTTCAGTGCTGATGTTCGGAGCACAAACTGAAGAATAAAAGAAAGACATCTTAGGTGTGTACTTGCTGTGTCGTGGTTCTAATTCCATGCTGTCGTTCTTTTTTTAAAACACAGAAACAGTTTTGTTACCCGTTTTCCCGCGCTACGTTTCGTCTGCGACTGCAGACTTCCTCAGGCTGATGCTGATCAAAAAAAAAAAAAAAAGAACGACAGCATGGAAAAAGAAAGACATGTCACAACTCCACGCTTCAGGTTACTGGAGGGATAGCAGCTGTATCTTTAGCAGTTCTGGTTCGTCTGACCCGGCCAGACTCAGACCAGACGACTCCTAAACTTCTCCAGTAAAAAAAAGTCTGAAAGTTCCTCAGAGCGAACTGGATTTCCCTCCACCATCACCACAAGAGTCAGAGGGTTACATAAGAGCTGCAGCAGCAGAAGTTCAGCCTTCAGGTGGGACACCACAGTAGGATGAGTCTTTTATTTTAGAATAATAACACACTTTATTCATCAAGTTCTTTTCTTGTGACGACCCTCGTCCCATTGGTCATCATCATCATCATCATGTGTTATCTGCGCCCTGGCCTCATCCCTACTGAAGATTCAGCACCAGGGACAGTTTCGGAGCAGCTTACTCTCCCTGCAACATTTCAGCACCTGGAGAGAGGCACGCCAGCAGCGAGAGCAGCTGAACTGAATCAGACCATCACGTGGACCTGGGAGGACTACAAAAGGAGATGCCAGCTGTCATGGTCGGCGTCTGAGTCTTCCCTCATGTTTCTCCTTGTGTTCTCCATCCCTCTCTAGATTCCCCTTTTGTGTCTCATAGCGCCCTCATGTGTCCTTTGTCTGCGTCTCATTTATGTGTTTTCTGTTTGTAGCCCTTTAAATCATTCCTCCCAGGTCCTGCGTTCATTCAATCATCCCCAGCCCCTCCAGGTGTTCCTTCACGTTCTGTGTCCTTGCAGCTCCAGCCTTTTTGTCCCCAGCTCCTTCCTGGTTTTCTTCATGTCTCTTAGTCTCCCCACCTCAGTTTATATAGGTCTTTTAGTTCAGTGTGTGTGTGTGTGTGTGTTTGTGTGTGCGTGTCCTTCCCCAGCTCGTTGTGTGCATGTGTATGTGTACGTGTGTCCTTCCCCAGCTCGGTGTATGCGTGTGTGTGTGTGTATGTGTGTGTGTGTGTGTGTGAGTGTGTGTGTGTGTGTGTGTGTGTGTGTGTATGTGTGTGTGTGTGTGTGTGTGTGTGTGTGTGTGTGTGTGTGTGTGTGTATGTGTGTGTGTGTGTGAGTGTGTGTGTGTGTGTGCGTGTGTGTGTGTGTGTGTGTGTGTGTGTGTGTGTGTGTGTGTGTGTGTGTGTGGAGTTCTTGGCCTTGAAGTGGGCAGTGTGTGACAAATTCAGGAACTACCTGTTTTACACACCACATTTCATTGTATTTATGGACAGCAATCCGTTGACCTACATATTAAGCACGGCCAAGATAAATGCAGTAGGTCATCGCTGGGAGGGAGAACTGGCGGGCATCCATTTTGAAATAAGATACAAGCCAGGCAAGTTAAATATGGACGCTGACATGCTTTCACGTTGTCCACTCAACATCGGTGCCTATATGAATCAGTGTTCAGAGATATTGTCTGAGGAGGCGGTATGTACTGTGTGGGCAGGTAGCAGACTAGCTCATGAGAAAGACGTTGCCTGGGTCGCAGCTCTTAACATCTCTTCCCAAAACCAAAACCCCACCCAGTCATTCCCAGCGATTAACCATAATGATCTGATAGAAGAACAACATAAAGATCCAGTGATAGGAAAGATTTTTGAACTTAAAGAAAAGAGCCCAGGGTCACCATTAGATAGCCGCAGGGCACTGGACAAACCAGCAAGGAAGCTAGCAAGAGAGTGGAGTAAACTGCATGTTGAAAATGGTCTCTTGTGGAGAAAAGTTTTGGGTCGAAAGCAGATAGTGTTGCCAAGCAGCTACAAGCAGACAGTTCTGACCCACCTTCACGACAACATGGAACATGTTGGTGTTGAACGAGTGTTGAACTTGGCAAGAGAAAGATTTTTCTGGCCTTTTATGA